AGGTTTTTATGTTAATGGAAGAAGGCTTGGATCATCAAATGAAGGACAACTGAAAGCAGTTATACTCACTAGGGGAGTAGTTGTGATTTATATAATTCATGGCTTAAGGCGAGTTAGTAGGGAATGTGAGGTTAATCTCATAGACAACCAAACACAAAATGACACTCTGTTGCTTGGAATACTAAATAGTTTTTATTTGAAGAATTATCTACTTTCAACACAGATGCAGTATGTTTCATCTATTCCCGATATTGTAAAAGAACACACAGATAAAAAACGGTTGTTACACATTTTAATTCAATATCTTGTTCGTGCCAAAATTCACAACACTGATGATGTAAAACTTAGTTCCTTAACTCTTTTTAACATCTTATCCAAACTAGGTGAAGGTAATATAGATTTCACATTGGTCCACGAAACTCGAGGACTGATTTTCCGTATTACACGGACGTTGAAGGAACTACTTGAAAGTGAGATAATTGACACCAAAGAAACAACAGAAGTGTTAGAGGTAATCTTAAACATTTTGGAGCTGTCAGTAAATGTTGATGGTGAAGAAATTGATTTGTTTGGTAAAAATATTGACGTTGGAAATTATCTCTTTTCAACACGTAGTAGTATGCAAATGGAACAAGTATTCAATGATATTCAAAACATTCTAAAAACTTTACAGCTAGCAGGTTTGCCACCGACGAAAATTTCTTCTGCTAATAACACTTTTGTGTTTCATGTTCTAGAGGAGGATCGAAAATATAACTTGAGCATTTCAAAAATGTTGGAGAAATATTCTGGTTTCCCTCTGAAGTTCTCATCAGATTCCTTGAAGCGATTGCAAAGACGTTTAAAGCCAGATGAAAACTTTTCTATTTCCATCGGAGTTGTAAGAGGAACTGTAATCAAACTGCCCGATAAATCTACTGTTTCTAACATCCTGATCGTTTCTTTGAGTAAACGGTCTAAAGACAAGATAGTTAAAATAAGAAAGATTTCATCTGTCATAGATTTGGAGATGTACGTAAATGATTCATGGCCAAACGTTGAGAAAATTGTTCAATCAATCCAATTAGACCCTCTATCAAACGAAGATAGTTTGGACTCGCAAGTTTCTGTGCATAGGTTTGATCCTGTGCCAGGAAGCAAGATATCTGTGCTTTTCTTTTATCCTCCTACAAACGTTCCCTTGAGAGTTATCATTGTAGAGGACTACAGACCGACTCATCAGATGATGATGTCGTTGTCAAGCCTAGTTACTGAACAGTCACCGTACTATTCGCCAAGAATAACAAGGACCAAACCAAATAAATTCTACTACATGGGCGTACTACCTGAGATAGGAAAACCATTGACTGAAACCACCAACTTCACTTACTCTTTCAGTGTTAACACTACCGCATGCGTTTCATGGGAAAATGTGAAATGGAGTTCCTCAGGGTGTAATGTTGGACCAAACACCAGCGACCATTGCATCCACTGTCAATGCAATCATCTGTCAATATTCGCAGCAATATTTCCAATTGCTCCCAACCGGATAGATGTTGTCAACGACATACAGCTTTTCATAACAGTTCAAAGTAATCTTATTGTTGTATCTGTAGTAGGATTTATATTTGTCTCTTATTTGGTTTTATCTGTCTGCGCTTATTTTCTAGATAAAAAAGATAAGTATCTTGGTACTGTTACCGTCCTGGAAGACAATTTTCCTGGTGACACAGTCCCTTATATCTTAGCGGTTTGTACGAGTTCTCGTTTCTTTTCAGGAACATCGGCTAACGTAGGAGTTAGAATTATTGGAGAGCTGGCGATCAGTCGTCCTCACATCCTCAAGAGCAAGTATCAAGTGCTAGGAAGACAATCAGATGATTGGTTTCTGATATTGTGTTCTAAACCTCTCGGACTCATCCGTTATCTTCACATATGGCATGACAATTCCGGGACGAGTCCTGGCTGGTATTGCAGCAGAATCCACGTTTTCGATGTAAACAATCGTTTGGAGAGCTTGTTTATAGTCGAACAGTGGATTGATCTGAATGTGACACATCATCCAGAAGCTCTAGTTTTGCCAGCCAGTAAAGATGAAATTATTGAGATAAAAAGAGTATTGAGCGACAATGTTTCTGCAAGCTTTAGAGGAGAAAAGTTTATCACTGGGATATTTACACAACATCCGAGAAGCATTGTGAGGAGAATACACAGGGTAAATATTTTCACAAGTAGCTTACTAATCGCTTTGCTATCAAACATCATGTTCTACACAGGTGCAAAAAAAAATGTTCAGACGGATGATTACAAATTTGGAATAAAAATGAGAGATTTATACATCAGTTTAGTGACCACTGGTATAATAGTTGTAACTAATTTCATCATATGTTCCCTATTCAGAAAGAGCTATCGTTATGTCCTTAGTAGTAATCACAGTTTGTTGTATTTGAGACAAAGTGAATTTGCAAAAGAATTTCAAGAACATGTACATTGTTCCCACGAAGCAGTTTTAGGATCAGCAGATAACAAGGGTAAAAGTACACGTGTAAATAAAATATTAAATTTTATGGTTAAAATAATGATGCAAAATCAACAAACTGCTCCAGCAATATTACCACAAGGACAGTCTGTTGTTGAATCTAAAAAGATTCAGCTTATAATAACTTGGATTGTTTGTGTTTCAATTATAGTTCTTTGCATGGTCTTCATATTGCTGTATGGTCTTAAGATGGGATCCACAAAGAGCAAGGAATGGCTCACGTCCGTTCTTATTTCATATGTTCAACACAAAGTAGCTGTGGAGCCTCTAAAAATTGTTTTACTGGCTTCTATGTTGACTGCAATATTGGGCTATATAAACCCTTCTCATTATCGAGCCACTGAAATTGAAATCCAAAAAATACTTTCTGATATGAAATCTGTCGATCATGAACAACTGATCAAGAACAGGGAACACAAGATGTACACTCCTTTAGGTGACAAAGAGCGAGAAAAACTATTCAAGAACCTTCTTAGGTTCAACAGGTTTAAGAGAATGTTTCAAATATTTTTGTCTTTAGTTTACATATTTGTTATAGTCACAAACATTCACCAAATAAGGTCTTTCAAATATTTGAAAAACAATTATTTAAAAATGTTTTTGACCTCTTCCAAAAGTGATTCTAGTAAGAGGTTTTTTCATGTGTATGATGTTTCTGAATTTAATAACTATTTGGATCAAACTTTTGTGAAAATAATTTACAGCAACAGATGGTATAACGGGTGGCTTCTCTTTCCTAACGACAGCTCCAAATATCACACATCTGATTATTCGTGGGTGACAGTCGGTGCGCCATTCCTCAGACAATTACGAGTTTACCCAAGTCCTTGCCACAACATTACTCCGTCCGCAACCAGCTGTTCGCCTCGGTGGAGTTCTGAAGACGAGGATAAAAATCCGTACACAATCGGATGGGGTGTTGTTTCTTCACCAAAAACAAAAGAAGAATGTGTTGAGTCCCCGTGGTGTTACGTTTCACCAACAGCAAGCTGGATGAAAACATACTATAGGCTTCAAGGTGTATCCGGTTTAACCTACAACAGCGGTGGGTATAAAGCTAAGATCGGACCGTTGGTGCATGAAACTGTAGCGAAGATCGCAGAGCTGGTGAATAACGCGTGGGCAGACATGTTCACCAAAGTGGTGTTCGTAGATCTCACACTGTACAATGTAAATCTCCGCAGTTTCAGCCAAGTTACACTTATATTGGAATATCTAACCACAGGAGTATCGCTGAAAACTGCTAGAATCACGTCTGTAACAGATTGCAACGGGGTTCAATTTCAACACGTAGCTTTTATCCTAATGACATTGTTGTATTCTTTTGAAATTTTCTGCCGAGTCAACTATGAAGGATTTTACACTTTCTTCTCAGAAACACGAAGTATTTTACTTGTGGTGATAGTAATTCCAAGTGTGTTTGTCGTTGTAGTTTTCTTAATCCACGTTTACGACTGTTACACATACAATTTAGAAGACATGTACTATGTGAAAGAACAAGACTATTTTGACTTTGACCTATTCTGGAATTTTCATAGCAGTATTATTTTAAGTCTTAGTTTCTTCTTGCTTCTCGGTGTTTGGAGAGTTTTTCTTTTGTTACCAATGTCAAAAGTGTTCCCAATGATTTACAGTTTGTTCAGGGTTTCACTTAACAATATATTTTTCCTTTGCACCGTGACACTAATAAGTTATATTGCATTGTGGCTAATCTATCTCCATTTGGACATGACAACTAGTAACAGAATTGTGAGTTTAGTTGTTTCTCAAAAACACAGTGAATACCTAGCCGTGGAATCAATAGTGTTTTCAATCATCAAGTTTTGCACCGTAATGTTGATATCAAGTTTTTTCATCACCATATTTATTAATCTCAATTCAAATGCACGCTACTTGAGGTTAGAGAAGAATCGAAGAATGAGTATTTTATAAAAATGTTCTTTTAACAATAATTTTGATGTAAATAAGTTGTCAATAAATTTGTAAACATACTAAAAAAATATTTATAATAGATTAAACATATGTTACAGTAAAATTGCACAAAACTTGCATTTTATGAAATTTCCAATGATTTATCAAATGTTTACTATATGTTAATATTATTCAAGCAGTTTGAGATATACCGGTAATTGGTAATGGAAAAAAAAGAATTACAGATGCTTTACCATCTGTACTAATATAAATCTAGGGTCTCTCTTTACAAACAAGATTTCTATTGTACCTTTTGTCTCAAAAACAAGAATAATTCAGATTTGACAAGTTACTTACATCCTTAGATAAGAAGCAAAGTAGTAGATCAAGGCTTTGAATACTTGTTTGTTTATTAAACACACGTTTTAATAATTTCCAAACCCAAGGTTTGTTGCTTTTAAACAAATCCTTACTGTAATTAAATTAAAATTATACCTTTACAACAATTAATTAACATCTTGGTCCAGGCTGTTAAGTTGTTGTTGAACAGGTAAAGAAATAAAACACAATCTTAACAAGTTCAATAAAGTTTTTTTATACAAACAAGTGAACCTCGAAGGGTTCGTCATATTTACAACGTGGAACTAATGGCTGTACGCAGGTCCGGACGTGAACACAGAGGGCCTTACAACATTAACTATCCAATACACATTGAAACTATTTAAAACACATCGATAAAATTTCAACAATCACAACATCAATGTTTTAATCACAGCAAGACCAACCTGTAGAAGTTAAATGCACACGTATGTCGGGATCAAGCAACATTTAATTGCCAAGTGCCTTGCAACCGAGGTAAATTTGTAAATTAAACAAATTAGAGGATAAAATTGAGCATCGCTTGGAGTATAACTAAGTCACCTAGGATTTTATGGACTGATTCATTCACTAAAATAACACAGATGTAAAAATTTTACGTAACGAGTTCAAAACATACAAAGAAGTTTAGCCGTTGAATTTCAACACAAATAAAGGCAACTATACACACGTTTACATAACTAGTTATCAACTCAAGGACGCAACATTGTACATTAAAATTGTGCATTCAGATCATTTAGGTATAAAACTATGATTTAGGTGATTTAAAATTTTGGCACAAAATATATTGCCAAATGTGATTTCCTATAGCCTCTAATTTGGACCACAAATATTGAAATACATACCAACAGTCAGTGCTCTTAGAAATTTCAAATACATATGTATAGTGAACATCAAATCCATGTAAAATATGCTTAAATATTAGGCATTACATGAGTAAACAATCCACTTTATGAATGAAGTACAACTATTTGAAAATAGTGATTTAAAATGGTTGATTAGGTTATGTGTTTGTACAAATGATAAAGTTTGAAGATTCAATGTTGGGGTTTTAAGTAGTGAAGTATAGTTTTCGAATGATGAAATTGGCCAAGTTTTGCTTGTCATTCGAAAAGGTTCTTACGTCAAGTATAAAAATATTATCCTATTCCATCGACATTCACGTTTATCCATAAATATATACATTTTTAATGGCATCCAAGCTAAAGTGGAGTAGGTACAGTATTACAGTTGTTTGCAGTGATCCAAGAATTTTACATTTAAGTACTGATTTGGAAATTAAACAAAATTTAGGCTGATAAAACTGATAATTTGCTAAATTCTTCATAAACAAATGAAAATTATTTAAACTATTTCGAGCTTGTTATTCTACTAATCCATTGAGCACCATTACATCAATTAAGTTCTAAAACTATTACCCATTATGAATCTGATTCCAACTAAAAACTATTTCACACCCTTAAATCTAGGAATCCTTTAACTCGGCATTTAGCATAAAAATGTAAATCTTTCCAATACTAACCAAAAATGTTTAAGTCCATAACAAAACATTGGGCTTATAACTGAGAACAATTCATATTAAGTATTTTATACAACTAAATAGCTTTTAGCAAGAATTTAAGTTTACAAAAACAGTTAAAGCAATAAATAGGTTACTATTAAAATTGGGGTTTAGGCCGAACAGAAAAAAATATATAATTAATCAAACGGACCAAAGTAGATGTCCCATATAAACACCATGGTTGCCATTCAAACCGAGGCTTTAGAATCATGTAAATTGTACAGTTCTCAATTAAACCTAATAGGATGTACCTACATGTTCGAAGTTCAGTTTCAAGTATTGCAAACCGTTATTCACTCTAACAAACACATGCATTAGACGCCAAATCTGAGTGTTTTTGCTCATTTAATGAGTGTGCACAAATACACTTGTTGCATACACAAAATTAGTATTTATGTACCCAACAATGCAATTATGCCTAACAATCGGATGTAAAAATAGTGAAACTTTAAAGAGCTCTCGTAGATTGATAAAATCGCCTCTAGGTGCTGTTGAGGACAAAATAAACAGCTTATTGAGCAATATCCAAAACAGCACTTTTTATAGTGTTTAAAACAGAAAGTCCTGGAACAAGTTGAATCTCATGGCATATAGGACTTCTACCTTAAGACACCGAACTATTCCGAAAATCATCACTGTTAAACTAAGTTGGAAAACGTAAATTACAATCACTGCAAGTGATACAGAAGGCAACACTGATGCTACCACAGCTGTTCTAAAGAGCAGACTAGAGTTTATCAGGCAGAACTCAGATTGGAAAACTCAATGAACACTGTACTGGAGTGGGGAAGGACTCTACTCCATCTTCTTCGTACCTCTGGCCGACCATGCCACCATGAGGTTGCGTGCAAACAACAACGAGAATGAATGCACTTGCATGGCCAGCATGATGAAAGCATACCACAGGAGAGCGTACGGGTAACCCTGGTAACATAAAATATTTGTCACGTGTGTTATGAAAGTGATGCTTAGGAAACCTACCTTGTACAGACAGTAGTCACGATTATTTGACTTTTTTGTATGGTTACAAGAGCTAAAATATCCATCTATGAATGACTGCCCAAATAATATAGGCCTAACAGGTGGTTATAGATAACTTTTTTTACAAACGATTAAAACTCATGAGAAAAAGCAAACTTCAGGTGTCTATATTCTTGACCATACCATACCCTACTGACTTGCTCTTTGTTTTCACACTATAAAATGGGGTTTATGACTTGTGACTTAACTTTTTTCACACTTGTTTAAATAACGCTTTACCTTTTACTTGACAAATTTTCCAGCTATCAGTTGATTTTATAATTACCCTACAGTAATCGAGATTCTACTGGAATGAATAAATTCAACTGACACATGAATTCATCTTTCACTAGGTACTAAATTACTTACCGGTACAGTTTTAATAAACTCAATAAATTAGCCTAGTCATTTTTACAAATCTCTATTGAACTAAGTTTCATACAAATAGGCCTAATGTGTAATATCATCCAAAAATAATAGACTGGGCATAATGTTTCTTCAATTTTAATGTTTGATTCTTTGTGTGTTTTAACAATTAATGAGCTTGACTTTATTAGAACCAATATCTTGATTCAAAATCTTTGTAAATAAGAACTATCCTATATTGCAGTCCCATTACCTACGTCTTTCTGCAACATCTTTACTTATCATTTACATTAATTATTGCAACTATCTTCTGCATTTCTCAATCAATCACCTAGTCTGAATTTATAGATAAAGCACACACCTGCCATAGTTGGATATCCTCAGTGTCTCCGGTGGTAATATATTGCCAGGCCTCGGAGAAGTAGTAGATGGCAGCGTAAAGGATGGGTCCGAAACCAAACACACAGATTCCAATCATGTATCGCTTCATGACTACGATCCTGTTCTTTCTAACTGCCGCCAGACCCAGAAACGACAGGAGCAAGCTTATACACCAAATGTATTCCCATAGTAGTGGCTATGGAAGAAGAAGACAATATTAGCCTATATATTTTTAGAGGACAATTAGTTTACTACGTTGTATTAATGTAGATTTATCTTTTTTAGTAACAGTTCTAAACCATGATTAACTGAATGAATATATAGCAGTTGATTCTAAGTTCAAACCTTCTTTGAAAATATGTTGAAATAAGATAATGTGCAAATCAAAACAACTATGCTTTAGCCTAGTTTCACCAATTACAAGATTTTTTTTATTCCGAAGAGAGGTATTAATTTTTAATGACAGCTGATATTTAAGAAAATTATTGTTTTCCAAGATCTAATTTGAGTGTTTTATTGTGATTTATTTTTTAGTTTAACATCTCACCATCACCGCAACAACATCAACAATGGTTGGTGGATTGTGGGAAATTTGTGTCAGCTGTTTTCATTGTTGAACAATCTTTCGCTACAAACAGAAATATGAAATTTGAACTGGTTAGGCACGCCGTAACATGCCACTTAAGGTTTTCTTAATTAAAATAAAATATTTTTCTTACCTTTGGTACTGCCAGTTCTTCTATTTCAAGAATGAAAATATCAAGTCTATCGAGAATGTCCGCAGACAGTTTGGCGAGCATCGCAAAAAATAATAGGTAATGGAAGAAAATGCAGTATTTTAACCGAGACTTGTTTTGAGCACTGAAACAAAATCATTAATAGAGTTATCTGCCATGGATGAATAGGACATCAACAGGGATATATGATAAGTTAAGCAATGAAGTTAGGAGTAACATGCTATAAAAAAAAACAAAAAACATGCTGTTATGAATGACTACCGCCAGTTTATCTCAGGAAGACCAAATTAATTTTGTGATTGGTAGGCCTATGGATTAACTTATAGCTTTTTAAAGTCAAATCAAGTAGATAGGGACCTACCGTAATCAAGGCAGGTAAATTCTGCCGAAATGAGTCAATATCGCCAAGACACTAGTGTCGGGTCGGGAATTCACAGCCCACATCCTAGCTCTAATAGTGAGGATCTTTCAAAATGCTGATCATCAGGGATTTCATCACATCAATAATCAACAAGTTTACCACCTCCAAGAATTAATCAGTCAGCTGGCAGAAACCTCTGAATGTTGTTTCACGGTCACACTCAATTGCAAATCAAATGCTTCGCTTTTCCACTTGAGTATGTAGGCCTACTAACTTAATCATTGATTCAGATTTATATTGTTTATAAACCACAAATAGCTTTAAAGAACCATAGCTTAAAAACCTTGCCTAGTTAGAAAACCATAAAGTTAAAGAATTTTTTTATTTAAAAGAGGAATGTATCTTAATTTAAATAGAAACCGAGTGTTGTGTGCTGTTTTGTTTCTCTGCGTGGAGAGTTTTAAGAACTGAACTTAGTTTCCAATGTCACAAGTGGAAAATGATCAAAAAATGCTACGCTAGGATTTTAATTTACTGATTTATGTAGGTTTGATGATGAAAGTTATTAAGTTGGTAGCATAACTTATGTTAGCTAAGGCTTAAGTAGGACTACCTACATCTCAATGGTTGAGTTATGCCTAATTTACATCTAAGATTCAATTTCACAGTTTATTCTAAATGATGTAGACCTTAGGTACCGTAGCCTCTTTGATAGTGAGTTAGGTGGCCAACAAATTAAGATAACTTGAGATCTGATTTCCTAAATAAGGTACCTTAACTTAAAACATTTAATTTTTTCCAGGACCATCAATTTTTGAATGAGTTTGGGTTGAACTAGATCCATTATAAAAACTAGGGTTAGTTTAAGAACAGTCTGTAAAAAATAAACAAAACCTTGAGGGGTAATTTAAAATAACCTAACATGCTGGCCTAGATGGAAAAATAACCTCGCTTTTCAAGTATTTACCTGATTTGATATTGTGCTGCTACCCTTTGTCTGTGAGCAAAATCAGTGCCGTCAGTTCCTGCGGCCATAGGGCCTCCTTTTGAAGCCATTTTACTTTTTCAATAATACAAATACAATTTTCTAAAATTCTTGAAACCAATATTGAAATCTTCAGCGACCCATCAGGTTAGAAAATAGATGTTGGTTCTTGGTTGTTCTGGTTCTGGTTGAATCGTTGAATGGTTGGCAAGCCCGTGGTTGAGTTGAGTTGAGATGAGTTGCGTTGTTGGAAGGTTGGCACTACTTGGCATTAGTCGAGTTGGCAAGTGCTGCTTCCAAGGGAGGGAACGTGGAAGTATTTGACGAAGCGGAGGAGGACACTTCAAACAACTTTAGTCAGCTGAGCGTCTAAATATGGAATCATCCAATGATTCAGTTGACTTTTTCTGAAATAAATTACTTGTATTGCAAACTATAAACTTTTAAATATCACTCTTTTCCATTTAATTTTAATTTTTAAAAAGCTAGAATATTAGATTAGTTGTAGTATAATTGTATTTGTACATTCTTGACAAAGCAGTTCTACACTTGTAAACGATCACTTTTAATTCGGTTATACCAAAACATAGTCCCTTGAAATTTGGCATGTTTAAGTGTAATAAATTGATATAAAATCTAAAATACAATTAAAACCATCTTGCCCAAACATTTAAACCGGTATTATTTGCATTGAGAAGCTGCAGAAACGTTGAATACTATAAATTGTGTCTTTTGTTATTGTCGCGTATGAATACTATCTAACCTCTCTGCCCTAACCTCCTTTCGCGCTTGCATCCATGATGTAGAAATGTGAAATGCTTATGTGATTGTGTAAAAATGTGTCCGCTTTTGTGTCAGTTTGCGTTTAAATTCAATAGTTCGTAATTTTTATCGTGATTGGAGTCGAGTGATGAGTGCGTCATGGTGTCCAGTGAAGTGTTTTACAATTATTATAGTTCCAAAATAAGCATTCTTTGGATGTTGCAGTGGCGGGGTGTTGGCAGCAATCGAGGCTGTGCCTAACATGGCTGCAACGCAATCTGAACCCCAGCAAAATGAGGTGAATCGGGAAAATGTGCAGCAAGAACAGTGTGTAACTGAAAACTCTGGATTACAAAATGGAACAGATAGAAATAGTGGTCGTAGCTTAGTTAGATTTGATGGTGCTAATCCTAAAGTTAAATCGTCAGGACAAAATACAGTTTCTGCCGAAATGAGTCAATATCGCCAAGACACTAGTGTTGGGTCGGGAATTCACAACCCAGATCCTAGCTCTAATAGTGAGGATCTTTCAAAAGCTAACCATATTGAAAATAAACAATTTTCTCATGTTGAACAAAGTGATCCCAACTTTGTGAAAGGTTCCCCTGATAATGGGAACCAAAGTATGCCTGGATCTTATGGATTGCCATTTCCCCAAAGGAGTGGTTATCATATTGAACATTCTAGTGGGAGTCCTTTGCAACCTGGAGGAGAAAATAGTATTCATCAGCAAAATTTTGGGCCATTTAATCCTCAAATGAGACATGCATATGCTACCTCTAAACCAATTCCGGGGCCGGGGACACCTGTACCTCAAAGACCTGTGAGTACAAGCCCAAACTTGGGATCTCCAGGTAATTATTCTCCTCATCTACAACAACAACAACGATTTTTATCTGGGCAGAGCATATCTCAGCCCACAGGACCTACTCCAACCTTGAATCAACTTCTCCAGTCCTCCAACCCTGTGCATCGATATCAGAACAGTTATGTAGACTATAGTATGGGGAAACAAGGAGGTGAACAGAGCCAAGGAAACATGCCGTATAATCAAGCGTGGCCGCCTAGACCAATGGGTCCGTATGGAGCTCAAGCAGGCCTCCCGGGATACCGGCCACAACCTCCAATGGTGAGTTAATCATTACTTATCTTTATGCCATTTTTTATTTAGGCCTAAGTTAGCCTTTTAACTTAACATACCTTAGGCTATAACTTGAGCTACTAAGTTAAGTTAGCCTATGCAGTAGCCTACCTAACTTACTGTAAACTTATTGAGTACAGTCCCTCAAAACTTAGGCCTTGATTTAGGCCTGAGTTAGCTTATTTTTCAAAGGCTGGTATTCATTGAATGAAAAATGTTAGGTCTAGGGCCTACTTAAGTAGGCCTAGGCTACATATTATTATTATCAACTTGGTGTGTTACGTAACTTTATTATCGTATCGGATAGGCTTAGGCCTAAAGTCTTAGTTTTCACACGTTTTAGTATTATCGGATCGATACCGTTATTTAAATATTGAAAGAACATTTTAAATGAGTCAATACCGTACCGTACTAGGCTACATAGGTCTGTTTTCAAGAAAACTCTCCCAAACTCAGCTGGTAAGTTAGTTAGCGAAGTTTTAGAGGTGCAGGCTAGTTTTGCTTCGTAACTTAAGGGGTGTCGTCCCGCCTATCTATCCTATCCCATGTCAATTTCTTCAAAACTTAAGGTAAACTTAAGTACCTACATTTTTTTAAGTTCGGACCTGGAAGGTCCGGGAAACAGACGTTTAAGTTAACTTGTAGGGTCAGGGAAAGTTTTGAAAAAAAGCCGCAAGTCAGGGAAGAACTTAAAAAATAATGTTAAGCTAGGCTAAGTTAAGTCTGGGAAATTTACAAAAAAACTTAGATACCTAGATAGATTTCTAAACTTTTTGGATAGGTCTAGGCCTACCGTAAGTTACCTAAGTTATATTGAAATGATATTAGAGCCTAAGTTTAGTTGCTGAAAAGATAAGTTCTGAAAAAACTGCGGTGTGTATGTATGTAATTTTTAACCCTTAATTTGACAGCGTGCCAATATTGGCACATGAGGATTCAAAAAGTTTTCACGTTCGCCTGTTAACTTTTTAATTCCAACAAACGGTGTCCAAAGGTCCTTTGCCTATTGCTATTATGGTGTAGTGCACTATAGTGGATGATTTGGAAATTACTATCACTTTAGACCAACATATAGAAAAGGAAGTATGGAGGCTTAGTGTAGAAGGTTAGTAAATTACTTCTTATTTCAATATTTTAGGCTGTTTACTTATATATCTAAGTGATTTGCACAGATTAAAGATGAGAAAACATAACCCAGGTCAGTAATTAGCTTAAATATGAATATTGATTTTTTTATAAACGAAACAATTTGAGTGTGACAAAAATGGCACATTGCCAAAGAACCAGGAAACAATGAAAATTTTTGGGCGTGCCAAAAATGGCACATTATCAAAGATGCAGTTATTTTTTTTAGTTTATTGAGTGGGCCTAAAGTGGCACACTGTTTATAAAACAATGAAAGGTATTTATATTTGTAAATGTATGTCTCTTATCTCCACAAATTGTAAAATAAAAATGTTTTTTTGAGGAAAGATTTTTCACTAGGCTGTTTAGAAAAGACTTTGGCTTTACAACAAATCCCGACCATCCATGGCAACAAATATCTACCAAAAAGAGTTTTATTTCCTGCTGAAAGTGAAACTTCGTATATGAAAGTTGACTGTGCATTCCGATAAAGACTTTGGTACTTACAAATATTTGTCACCGTATCGACATATCGTGGAATAACGCATTGCTGCTACGTTGAAAATTATTAAACTGAAAACCAGCAAGACAATATTATGTCACTAAAGAATTTTAGTTATGGGTTTTTTGAATCGCTAACCAAAGAAAGGAGTAAAAGACAAGCTCTAAAAGACAAGTATTTACTTCTTCTAACGCCAGCTGCTCTGATGTATGTTGAGGATGTACGCTTTGATGGTGTTGGACACTACCCTTTCTTTGCATACATCAAGAGGTGGATGCAGGTTTTGCAAAAACAAAAAATCGTCGATAGAGTGTTCAAAGTGCAATGCGAGGCTGTAACTGAAAGAAAATAGCAATTGTTTTGTGGGGTTTCACCAAAAGTAGATGACGTTTCTTGATGGACATACTCTAATGAAATTTCAAACGATTTTCCTGATGGGCATGACTATTGAAATATCAATAAATTATATAATAATGTATTTTCTATTGTTGTCACATAGTTTTGTTTAGGTTTTACAAGTGTATACATTTTAGTTCATTTTTTATAATGATGTTTATACCATTTTATATGGGATTGATAACTTTTGTGGAGAAATTGATTTTTTTATATCTTACATATAATTATAGTTATACAATTTTGATATCCAATATGTGATAATGTCGACTTATTCAAACCCTAAAGTTTATTTTTAAGTGCTATACAGATAAACTTGTTGTATTTAATTCAACATAAGATTCCTAGAGAAATCTCCGCATCTTTGGCAAAGTGCCAAAAATGGCACACATGAAAAAATTGTGAAAAATACTTATAAGAATTTTAAAATTATTTTTTTGACGTTCCTTTGGACCCTTTTGATTGAAATATTGCAAGGAAAAAGTAGTTTTCAAAAAAAGATTTGTTTGCCAAATTAAGGGTTAATTAAGCTTAGGTACCATTGTTTTTGTTTTATTTTTAGTGCTGTCCAAGTAGCCTAACTTATTTAGAATTTGATTTCTTATTTGGTATTGTATTAATTAATATCCCCGCGACAGAAACCCTCAAATTAAGCAAATTTCCATTTACCTGGCTGGATTTCTAAAAGATTCCTTTAAAATTATTTCCTATTCAAATAAGGTTAATTTTAAAAAGTTCATGGGTTTGTTGCTACAAAAAATATAATAAGGAGTGGTTTTTATTAAAATCTTTGAATAGATTAATATGAAATAATGAAATTTGTCAAAATATAAAAAGTAGCTACAGTACTTAAATCGGTCGCCGGTCTAGATGTCTTATCATGAGACCTCTGGTAATAGCTTGTCCCCTACAGACTCCCTCTTATCCGGTATCCTCGGGACCGTAGCCAGTCTGGATAACAAATTTTCTGGTTAAACCGACGTCCCCAAAAGCTTGTTAAAATGGACCGTTTACTTGAATGCATAGGCCTACTGTATTTGACTTAAATTTAGGATCCGAGCATTGTATTTAGACATGTGATCACTGGTCCCAAGTCTTTCCCACAAGAACAGTTGTTTTAGTACTGGCCACTTCTTGCCAATCTAAGTTAGTTTGGTTAAACCGATATGCTGATAAAAATAGTCCGATTAAAGAGATGTCATTTCCGCTGAGTGTAGTCTGGTTAAAAGGTGTCCGGATAAAA